AAACCTGCCCGTCATATTCAAATTTAAATTATTTGATTCCCAGGCGATTTAAAGAATTTAAATAGTTTAAATAATGAAAAATGATTTAAATCCGAAAGGGGGGGGGGACCACCCCCCCTCCCCAGAATTAAATAATTTAAAAAGTGTAAATAAGACGGGGAGGTTTCGGATTTAAGTTATTTGAATTATTTAAGTCTTTGGGGGCAGGGGGGGGTGGTCCCCCCTTTTCGGATTTAAATTATTTAAATTATTTAGCATATTTAAATTATTTAAACTATTTCAATTATTTAAATTATGTAAATTGTTGTTATTATTTACAAATTATTCACATTATTTAATTCCCGGCCGAATTAAATAACTTAAGTAATTTAAATCCGAAACCTGCCCGCCATATTTATGTTATTTAATTATTTCAATAAATTTCGATACTTAAATTCTTTAAATTATTTAAATTACTTAAGTCAATCTAATTAAGTAAAAAACAATATAAACCCAAGCAAGCACGAGAGCCCGGGGGGCTGGAGACTACAGTCAGAGAGCTCGGGGGCCTGCAGACTACAGCCAGACAGCCCGGAGGCCTGGTGACTACAGCGAGAGAGACCGGGGGCCTGGAGACTACAGTCAGAGAGCTCGGGGGCCTGCAGACTACAGCCAGACAGCCCGGGACCCTGGTGACTACAGCGAGCCCGGGGGCCTGGAGACTCTACAGTCAGAGAGCTCGGGGGCCTGCAGACTACAGCCAGACAGCCCGGGACCCTGGTGACTACAGCGAGCCCGGGGGCCTGGAGACTCTACAGTCAGAGAGCTCGGGGGCCTGCAGACTACAGCCACAGCTCGGGGCCTACGGCCTGCTTCGCGGGAAATCCCGTGGGAAAAGGAAGCCCTTATTTTTGAAGTCTTGCGAGATTTCTCGCGGGATACGTTTTAATTTCGAAGGGGATCCGAGGGAAAACCAAGGGAAGTTCAAAGGGAAGTCCAAGGGAACAGTAAAAGGAAGATTTGACTCTCACGGGAAACTGAAGGGAAACCAAAAAAAACATCAAAGGGAAACCACGGGAAAACCAGAAAAACTCAAGGGAGAGCTCGCGGGAATTTCTCCCGCCAAAATTCGCGGGAGAAAAGTTTCGCGGGAGAAATATTCAAGGGGAATGCTTTTGTTAACGCTCGTCCCCGGACCCCCGGCTTTTTTACAAGCCTTATGAATTAACAAAACAAAATGTTCTTTTTTAAAAGGACTAAGAAGCGCATTTAAATATTTTAAATGAGTATTTGTGTTGCTGTTTTTTTTTTATTTTTCTTGTAAGGCCTAGGCTTTCAGAATTTCAGGAAAATTGCAAAAAAAAAAACTTAAATGGTTTATTTGCTAAAAATTACAAACAAAAATCCAAAAATATAACGTACCCATGGAACTTCATGGCCTTTCCAAATATTGAAATGCCCCTAGTTTCCTTAAAATCTATCAAATTTTAAACTAATATTCAAGTATTTTCCAGAAAGGGTCAGGCCCATTTAAATAAAAAAAAACTAAACTCAGTAAAACTATTGGAAAATGAATTTATTTTCCGGAAAAGTCAGGCCCATTTAAAATTTTAAAATCCTTAAAATCCTGAAAACCCTTAAAATTTTGAAAGCCCGGACCTTTCAATATTTTAAGGATTTTAAGGAATTTAAGGCATTTTAAATTCTTAAAATCCTTAAAATTTTGAAAGAAAATTAAATTATTTTCCGGAAAGAGGCAGGCCCATTTAAAATTTTAAAAATCCTTAAAATCCTTAAAACCCTTAAAATTTTGAAAAATCCTTAAAATCCTTAAAACCCTTAAAATTTTGAAAGGTTGGGGCTTTCAAAATTTTAAAGATTTTAAGGAATTTAACGCCTTTTAAATTTCTTAAAATCCTTAAAATCCTTAAATCCTTAAAATTTTGAAAGAAAATTAAAATTTTCGGAAAGAGGGCGAAGGTTCCACACAGGGCCATTTAAAATTTTAAATCCTTCAATCCTTAAAAATTTTTGAAAGGTTGGGGCGGCTCAAAATTTGTAAGGGATTTAAGGAATTTTAAAACTTTTAAAATTTCTTAAACTCCTAACTACTAAAATCCTTAAAATCCTAAAAATCCTTAAAATCTTAAAATTTGAAAGAAAATTAAATTATTTCGGAAAGAGGCGGGGCCATTGAAAATTTAAAAATCCTTAAATCATTAAAATCCTTAAAATGTTGAAAGAAAATGAATTTATTTTCCGGAAAAGTCAGGCCCATTTAAAAATTTTAAAATCCTTAAAATCCTGAAAACCCTTAAAATTTTGAAAGCCCGGACCTTTTTTAAGGATTTTAAGGAATTTAAGGCATTTTAAAGTCTTAAAATCCTTAAAATCCTTAAAATTTTGAAAGAAAATTAAACTATTTTCCGGAAAGAGGCAGGCCCATTTAAAATTTTAAAAATCCTTAACATCCTTAAAATCCTTAACATTTTGAAAGGTTGTGGCTTTCAAAATTTTAAGGATTTTAAGGAATTTAACGCCTTTTAAATTTCTTAAAATCCTTAAAATCCTTACAATCCTTAAAATTTTGAAAGAAAATTAAATTATTTTCCGGAAAGAGGCAGGCCCATTTAAAATTTTAAAAATCCTTAAAATCCTTAAAATCCTTAAAATTTTGAAAGCCCGGGCCTTTCAAAATTTTAAGTTTTTTAAGGAATTTAAGGCCTTTTAAATTTCTTAAAATCCTTAAAATCTTAAAATTTTGAAAGAAAATTAAATCATTTTCCGGAAAGAGGCAGGCCCATTTAAAATTTTAAAAATCCTTAAAATTAAAATCCTTAAAATTTTGAAAGCCCGGGCCTTTCAAAATTTTAAGGATTTTAAGGAATTTAAGGCCTTTTAAATTTCTTAAAATCCTTAAAATCCTTAAAATCCTTCAAATTTTGAAAGAAAATTAAATTATTTTCCGGAAAGAGGCAGGCCCATTTAAAATTTTAAAAATCCTTAAAATCCTTAAAATCCTTAAAATTTTGAAAGGTTGGGGCTTTCAAAATTTTAAGGATTTTAAGGAATTTAACGCCTTTTAAATTTCTTAAAATCCTTAAAATCCTTAAAATTTTGAAATAAAATTAAAATATATTCCGGAAAGAGTCAGGCCCATTTAAAATTTTAAAAATCCTTAAAATCCTTAAAATCCTTAAAATTTTGAAAGCCCCAACCTTTCAAAATTTTAAGGATTTTAAGGATGATTTTTAAAATTTTAAATGGGCCTGCCTCTTTCCGGAAAATAATGTAATTTTCTTTCAAATTTTAAGGATTTTAAGGATTTTAAGGATTTTAAGAAATTTAAAAGGCCTTAAATTCCTTAAAATCCTTAAAATTTTGAAAGCCCCTTTCAAAATTTTAAGGATTTTAAGGATTTTAAGGATTTTTAAAATTTTAAATGGGCCTGCCTCTTTCCGGAAAATGATTTAATTTTCTTTCAAAATTTTAAGGATTTTAAGGATTTTAAGGTTTTAAGAAATTTAAAAGGCCTTAAATTCCTTAAAATCCTTAAAATTTTGAAAGGCCCGGGCTTTCAAAATTTTAAGGATTTTAAGGATTTTAAGGATTTTTAAAATTTTAAATGGGCCTGCCTCTTTCCGGAAAATAATTTAATTTTCTTTCAAAATGTTAAGGATTTTAAGGATTTTAAGAAATTTAAAAGGCCTTAAATTCCTTAAAATCCTTAAAATTTTGAAAGGCCCGGGCTTTCAAAATTTTAAGGATTTTAAGGATTTTAAGGATTTATAAAATTTTAAATGGGCCTGCCTCTTTCCGGAAAATGATTTAATTTTCTTTCAAAATTTTAAGGATTTTAAGGATTTTAAGGATTTTAAGGATTTTAAGGATTTTAAGAAATTTAAAAGGCGTTAAATTCCTTAAAATCCTTAAAATTTTGAAAGCCCCAACCTTTCAAAATTTAAAGGATTTTAAGGATTTTAAGGATTTTTAAAATTTTAAATGGGCCTGCCTCTTTCCGGAAAATGATTTAATTTTCTTTCAAAATTTGAAGGATTTTAAGGATTTTAAGGATTTTAAGAAATTTAAAAGGCCTTAAATTCCTTAAAATCCTTAAAATTTTGAAAGGTCCGGGCTTTCAAAATTTTATGGATTTTAAGGATTTTAAGGATTTTTAAAATTTTAAATGGGCCTGCCTCTTTCCGGAAAATGATTTAATTTTCTTTCAAAATTTTAAGGATTTTAAGGATTTTAAGGATTTTAAGAAATTTAAAAGGCGTTAAATACCTTAAAATCCTTAAAATTTTGAAAGGCCCGGGCTTTCAAAATTTTAAGGATTTTAAGGATTTTAAGGATTTTTACAATTTTAAATGGGCCTGCCTCTTTCCGGAAAATGATTTAATTTTCTTTCAAAATTTTAAGGATTTTAAGGATTTTAAGGATTTTAAGAAATTTAAAAGGCCTTAAATTCCTTAAAATCCTTAAAATTTTGAAAGCCCGGGCTTTCAAAATTTTAAGGATTTTAAGGGTTTTAAGGATTTTTAAAATTTTAAATGGGCCTGCCTCTTTCCGGAAAATAATTTAATTTTCTTTCAAAATTTTAAGGATTTTAAGGATTTTAAGGATTTTAAGAAATTTAAAAGGCGTTAAATTCCTTAAAATCCTTAAAATTTTGAAAGGTCCGGGCTTTCAAAATTTTAAGGATTTTGTGGTCCTTTTAAAATTTTGGAAACCCCCTAAATTCCTTAAAATCCTTAAAGTTTTGGAAGGCGAAGCAGGACCGTCAAATAACGCATAAAGGTCCTACATACATATATATATATATAGGGCCCTCATTCCCACATTCCCTACTAAGGACCAGCCAGAAGACTAAGAAACCCAAACCCTTTTGAAGGCGTTTAGGATGTAGGGATGAATTCATTTTCCTTATCAGGAACACTGTTTTGGGAACAAGTTTTTTCATCAACTCCCATATACACCCTCTGAAGAGAGAACCCTGAACCCTTCCCCCAACAGCCATGCTAGACCCAGGAGTAACCTAGGAATAAAAAGGCGCTTGTAAGGCAACCCACACCCTATCCTAACAAGAAAAGGGCAATAAGGGCCTTCTCAGGGTCCTAGCCCTAAACCCTAAACCCTAAATCCTACACCCTAAACCCTAAACCCAAAAATGTAAATAAAGGCCTACTCTGGGTCCTAGCATGGGCACGGGGGCCTCATACAGCTCCTCGTACTGGATGGTGGTTGCTGGGCGGCCACCCTGCACCGCGATGTGGATCAGCACCTCTCTTGCCCAACCCACGGAAGGGTTTAGGGTTTAGGGTTTAGGGTTTGGGGTTTAGGGTTTAGGGTTTAGGGTTTAGGGTTTAGGGTTACGGGGTTCCACTAGAACAAACTAGACCCAAGAGTAACCTAGGAATGAAAAGTGTACCCTTTTTGGTTTAAAGGGTATCATAAGGAAACCTACACTAACCTAAAAAAGGGAATAAGGGCCTACTCTGGGGCCCTAAACCCTAAATCCTAAACCCTAAACCAGCCCTGGGCATTTTTGTTGCCTCATTCGCAAAGCAGACCCCCTCGAGTCATCCCTACGCATCGGTTTAGGGTTTAGGGTTTAGGGTTTAGGGTTTAGGGTTTAGGGTTTAGGGTTAGGGTTTAGGGTTTAGGGTTTAGGGTTTAGGGTTTAGGGTTTAGGGTTTAGGGTTTAGGGTTTAGGGTTATCAGGACCCAAGGCACCGAATCCAGCGGCTCTCTGCCGAGAGCATAGCCGAAGTCCACATGCACGAGGCGCCCGTCCACCTTCACACAACTCGCGTCTCAGGGTTTAGGGCTTAGGGTTTAGGGTTTAGGGTTTAGGGGTTTGCCTGATGTTTGCGGTTTCATGCGGGCGAACACGCTAGCCCTGTTCTGATCCTTGATAGCTTTTCATCCCTGCCAGCAGACCGCCCCCCTGGCCCTCCCCAGAAAATCGAAGCAACTCCTTTTCAGCAACCCGCACAAATCCTAAAACACTATAAGCCACAAACTCCCCAACCCCAAATCCCTAATCCTAAAACCCTACAAACCCTAACCCTAAACCCCAAAACTCTAGACTCTACAAACCCTATAAACCCTAAAACTAAACCCCGAACCCTAAACCCTGAACCCTAAACCCTAAAACCTAAAACTTAAACCCCAAACCCCGCCGTAACCATGAAGTTCTCATGGTGCCGATCACCCAGGCCGGCAACGAAGCTCAGCACGGCAGACACCGCCGCGGTAAAGGCCAGGCGCGCCAGAGCTTTTGGGAGATCCTCTTTGGGATTCGTTTAGGGTTTAAGGTTTAGGGTTTGGAGTTTAGGAGGGTTTAGGGCTTAGGATTCCAACGTTTATCCTAGGGTTCTTAACGGAGTGGGGCTTCATGAGCGGTAGGTACCCAGGGAACCTTAGAGAAGCTTAGGGAGCCTTAGGGAGTAAAGGGCAGTATTCGGGAACCTTGGGTTACATGCACCCCTTAAACCCCCTCCTCCCTTAAGCACCCTATAAAACTCGCAAGAAACTAAACAACCAACCTTATATCCTATGCCCTATACCCTAAAGCCTAAGAGTTTAGCTTATATAGGCTTGATACAGTGTAGGGTCTATAGGGATCAAGGTGAAGGCTTGAAGTGTCAAATGCCAGCGTCCAGGGTTCAGGGTTGATAGGGTCATCGGGGGTAGGGTTTAGGGTTTCGGGTTTCGGGTTTAGGGTTTAGGGTTTGGGGTTTGGGGTTTAGGGTTTAGGGTTTGGGGCTTAGGGGAACGAAGCGGCTCCTGCTTGTTGTTGTGCTGCCGCAGGAAGGTGAAGAGGGTGCCCCGCTCCTGAACTGTTCTTGTGAGCCCTGAACCCTGAACCCTGAACCCTGAACCCTAAACCCTAAACCCTAAACTCGAAACCCTAAACCCTAAACCCTGGTTAGCAGGGAATGAGGGAATTAGGGCCCTGTGTAGCCCGGGATTACATCGGGCCCGAAGTTTCCCCCTCATTCCCTGCTAAGTAAGTCACTTTATAGTTGCCTCCTGTTTGCTGAGCATCATTGGCCAAAAAAAAGTTAACCTTTCAATTCTGGCAGGGCTATGTATACGTGTTAGGGTTTAGGGTTTAGGGTTTAGGGTTTAGGGTTTTAGGGTTTAGGGTTTAGGGTTTAGGCTTTAGGGTTTAGGGGTTTAGTTCTATATACCCCAAAAGGTTAAAGGATATCTACTCAGCTACTAAGGCTGTCTGATTTCTGTAACCCTGAACCCCTAGTGCCCCTAAATTCCCCGAAGCTCTCACCCCGAACCCCCAACCCCCTTAAACCCTCAACTCCTAAACCCTTTATAAGTATAAAAAAAAAAAACAACTTCGAAGCGAGAGCAGCCAAGGCCCCCCGCAACCCTAAGCCCTAAACCTAAACCCCAAACCCCAAACCCCAAACCCTAAACCCTAAACCCTAAACCCCAAACCCTAAACCCTAAACCCTAAACCAGCCCAAGGCTCCCCTGGGGAGAAGAGCAGCCGCGTGCCCAACGCCGAGGCGCTGGAGTCGCCCCCGGAACGCACCTCCCGGAGCGTCCGAGCACCGTCGATGTACCTTATGGGTAGGGGTTTAGGGTTTAGGGTTTAGGGTTTAGGGTTTAGGGTTTAGGGTTTAGGGTTTAGGGCTTAGGGTTTAGGGTTTAGGGTTTAGGGCTTAGGGTTTAGGGTTTAGGGTTTAGGGTTTAGGGTGTAGGGTTTAGGGTTTAGGGCTTAGGGTATAGGATTTAGGGATTTAGGGTTAGAGCTTAGGATTTAGAGGGGGATGTGGCACCCAAGCTAAGGTTATAACCATAGATGCCCTACGTTGATTGAACCTTCTAAGCAGGGGTTTAGGGCATTTGGAGGTTCAGGGCTTGCGGTATCGGGTGTTTTTTTGGGGCTTGGGGTTATTAGGCTGGCTTTACAGTACATCCTGGGACTCAGAGCAGGCCCGCTTATAGTCTCCCAAAACAAGGCCCTGAGCAACAAGCCCTGAAAACCCAAACCCTAACATCTTCAACCTAGCAACAGGACCCTAAACCCTAGCCCTAAACCCTAAACTTAATTACCGCAGAAAACCTACAAGTGGGGGTTGATTCACCCTAATCCCTAAACCCTAAACCCTAAACTCTGCTTCGTCAGCTTGCTCGAGCATGGCGGTGCCATGGCCAGTCATCACGATGGTGTACGTCGCCCTCACATCCTCGAAGACCAGGCCGCTCTTTCCTTGGTTCCCACACAACTAGGGTTTAGGGTTTAGGGTTTAGGGTTTAGGGCTTAGGGTTTAGGGTTTAGGACACACAAAAGCCACAAAACCCACCAAACCCCCGCACACCCACCAAACCCACAAAACTCCACAAAACCCAACACCCAGGAATGAACAGGGGGCACCACGTGGTTCGTTGGCATATTTTCAGGCAGCCTGACCCAAAGAAAGCCTATGAAGCCTAGTAGACCTGTGGTTTAGGGTTTAGGGTTTAGGGTTTAGGGTTTAGGGTTTAGGGTTTAGGGCGATTACAAATGGTACCACGGCAGGCTCCGAGTTTCTGAGGAGTGTCTGCAGCTCCGGATCCTCCCAAATCAATACCTCCAGGAGTCGCAGCGTCTGTCCCACCTGCAGGGCTTAGGGTTTAGGGTTTAGGGTTTAGGGTTTGAGGTTTAGGGTTTAGGGTTTAGGGTTTCGGGTTTAGGGTGTAGGGTTTAGGGTTTAGGGTTTAGGGTTTGGGGTTTAGGGTTTAGGGTTTGGGGTTTGGGGTTTAGGGTTTAGATCCATTGGTGGGGGGGGGGGGGGAGGGGGGAGGCCTTCGGGGATAGGTCTCAGGGATCTACAAAAGGCCTCTTATAGGGTTTTTGGGGGGGCGCCCGAAGTCTCTAGGATGCTAGGCTCTTCATATTTAGGATATTGGGGGGTTCAAGACATTGCGTTGTTCTTCTGCACCTGGGTAGTTCTCCTAAATAGGGTTTAGGGTTTAGGATTTAGGGTTTAGGTTTTTTGGATTTTGGGGGGTCCCTTTTCCGGGCCCTTTTATTATAAGTGCGCCGTGCTATATGGGGGGGACCCGACAAAGGGGACCCTCATTGCCCTAAACCCTAAACCCTAAACAAACCCTAAACCCTAAACCCTAAACCCTAAGCCCTAAACCCTAAACCCTAAACCCTAAACCCTAAACCCTAAACCCTAAACTCAATTCAGGGAACTACACCCACCTGTTGCTCTCGGTGCATGCCGACATCCCGTTTCAACAGGACGCCGGAGGACTTCCGCCGTTCGGAGACCTCCTTGCCTCAGGTTTAGGGTTTAGGGTTTGGGGTTTAGGGTTTAGGGTTTAGGGTTTAGGGTTTATGGTTTGGGGTTTAGGGTTTATAAGAGTTTAGGTTTTCGGGTTAGGAATCCCATTGCCGTGCTTGTCTGAGAGTCCAGGGTTTCGGGCTTAGGATCTAAGGATTGCGGTTTAAAAGGTTTGTAAAGTTTAGAGCAATACATGGGTGACGGTCAATTCTGAACATGACCAAGTAAGGTTATGAGAACAAACTGCTGCATTGTCACCCTAAACCCTAAACCCTAAACCCTAAACCCTAAACCCTAAACCCTAAACCCTAAACCCTAAACCCTAAACCCTAAACCCTAAACCCTAAACCCTAAACCCCAAACCGCAGTGCAGGTACTGGAGGGCCGGATGGCGCTAATCGGCCCCCGCGGATTCGGAGCCGGGCTTGTGGTCGCCTCGTCGTGGAAGCGGCAGCGGACAATGACGGGGGCCGATTTGCCTGATATGGAGGGTTTAGGGTTTAGGGTTTCGGGTTGAGGGTTTTGGGTTTAGGGCTTATCATGGGTTTCCCTACTACCCCCTCCTCTATACTACCCCCCCTAGGTTCCCCCCCTAAATAACCTTAATTAAGCTTAGCCGGGGAACCCATGATATGGGGGGGTTTACGAACATCAGAGACCCCTGATATAGATCCCCAGATAGTAGGATTCCCTGATACTAAGGACCCCAACAAGGTACCCCTAATTTCGGAACCCCCCCCCCCCATATTTGTCGACTTCTCCAATGACCCGGGAACAAAAACCTCTAAGATCCCCTAAACCCTAAACCCTAAACCCTAATTTCGGAGACCCCCATATTGGCGAAGTAAGCTGCTGTCCGTCTTCCGTGGTAGGCCCTCCACCCCCAGGCAAGAACCTCGGATGGCACTTGCAAACATCCTCTGAAGCACATTCCTAAAACATGGCCCTCTTAAGCCCACCAAGGGAAAATGTGGCCCTAAACCCTAAACCCTAAACCCTATACCCTAAACCTAGGAGCGGTAGGGGGGCCAGACCGCAAGAGGAAACTTCCGCGACTCTCCCCAGGGGTCGACTTTGCAACTCTCGTAGTTCCCTCGTTCCATCTGCCGCACCCAGGTGTGCTGCCTGAGAAGGCCCAGCTCCCGTTCACCTGGGGCACGAACCAAAGAGATTCCCCCAAAAGAGGGTTATTTAGGGTTTAGGGTTTAGGGTTTAGGGTTTAGGGTTTAGGGTTTAGGGTTTAGGGTTTAGGGTAAGTACCCGAAAGATCCCTTGAGAGGGGTGAGGAAAGAAGGTACCCCTACAGTCGAGTTCCCTACCAAGACTGGGTCTAAGTCGCTCGAGATGTGTTGCAGGAGCTCCTGCAAAGCCACGCTGGCCCAGTCCTCTTCACCGGCGTGCCCCACTCGTGCTTCCAGCGCCCAGAAGAGCTCGTTGCCTGGTAGCCCAGTATAAAACCCTAAACCCTAAACCCTAAACCCTAAACCCTAAACCCTAAACCATAGTCTACCAAGGGCATCCCTTTTTCTTGGATTGGCTACCTTAATTTGGGAACCCAGAACGAAAAAAAAGGGCAAAGGGTACCACTGATAAACCCTATACCCTATATACCCTATAAACCCTATAAACCCTATAAGCCCTATAAACCCTCTAAACCCTATAAACCCTATAAACCCTAAACCCTACACCCCGAGTTGCAGAGGCCGGCGGCTGCGGGCGTCTTCCCCCGCGCTGTCTCCAGTAGAGCACCAAAGATGGCCCGGCGGCCGCCGGTGGCCCCAGCTGAGCCGAGCTCGTGGCCTGCGTCCAACCTCGCGGGATTAGGGTTCAGGGTTTAGGGTTTAGGGTTTAGGGAGCCTAAACCCCATACTGCTTTACGCCTATGACTATAGAGCACTATAGCCCTAAACCCTAAACCCTAAACCCTGAACCCCAAACCCCCTCCCGGGGTTCATTTCGTCGCCCAGGAGCAGCAGCTCGAGGCAGCAACCTATACTGGACTTGGAAACCTAACAAATCTTTCAGCTGCTTCTTTGAAATTAAAGTGCCCAAAATATCCCCAACCCTAAACCCTAAACCCTAAACCCTAAACCCTAAACCCTAAACCCTAAACCCTAAACCCTAAACCCTAAACCCTAAACCCAAATATTAAGAAACCATTTCCAAGCATCCCCAAGAAGCAGAGCTCCGCGCAGCTCAGCTCCTGCAGCCGCTGGGCCGCGTACTTCGCTGCCAGGCCAAGCCGACGCTCCTGCTTACTTTAGTCTGGGTTTAGGGTTTAGGGTTTAGGGCTTAGGGTTTAGGGTTTAGGGTTCGGGTTTCGGGTTTAGGGCCTTAGGGTTTAGGGTTCAGGCCTGTCTAAAGCTTTCACAAAACAGACACAGAGAGTATCCCATTTGGAGTAGTGAAAATCTCGAAGCCTCACAACCAGACCCTAAACCCGAAACCCTCTAAACCCTAAACCCTAAACCCTAAACCCTAAACCCTAAACCCTAAACCCTAAACTCTAAACCCTAAACCCTAAACCCTAAACCCTAAACTAAACCCAAACGCCGGAGAGGTGCCCCCAAGGTCAGCGCGGCTTGCTCTGCGGAGCGGCCTAATCCCCCCAGGATCTGCAGTGCCTGGTCGGTCAGGTAGGTTCTCTAGGGTTTGGGGGCTTAGGGTTTAGGGTTTAGGGTTTAGGGTTTAGGGTAACCCTAAACCCCAAACCCACTTCGTTAGGGTTCTAGACTGTCGGTATAGGGAGGGGCCATGTACCGTAGCATCGCCATGCGTCGCGCTCCACAAACGTCCCCAACCCCACATACGCGGAACCCTCAAGCCCACGTTCAAAACGCTGTAAACCCTAAACCCTAAACCCTAAACCCTAAACCCTAAACCCTAAACCATAAACCTTCCTTCCGAGGCATGAGGGTCCGTATCCTGTGCTGGCCAAAAGCAGGTGTTTTACCTGCAGCCGAACTGATATAAACCCTATAAACCCTATAAACCCTATAAACCCTATAAACCCTATAAACCCTATAAACCCTATAAACCCTATAAACACTAAAAGACCTTCAACCCCCAAAAAGACCTTAAACCCCTAAACCCTAAACCCTAAACCCTAAACCCTAAACCCTAAACCCTAAACCCTAAACTCTACGCTTCGTGGGGTCGGGGCCTCCCGACCGGGTAAGGCTTCATGGTGCCGCTCCAGCAACTCCACGCACCTCAGGCACAGCAACCCTGTAAGCCCTAAGCCCTAAGCCCTAAGCCCTAAACCCTAAACCCTAAACCCTAAACCCTAAACCCTAAACCCTAAACCCCACGAATTACCTTGGGGACTACATGAACCCTAAAAGGGTTTATGGTTCATATGCCTTAATAGGAGTTCTCGTAGAATAGCATATGTGACCCCAATTCTAGGGTTCATTTGGTCGTTAAGAAGTCACCAAACCCGAAACCCTAACCCCCTAAACCTTACACCCTCGTTTAAGGTTTAGAAACCCCTAAAGCCCTAAAGACCTAAAGCCCTAAAGCCCTAAACCCTAAAGCCAGACCCTAAAGCCCTAAGCCCGAAGCCCTAAACCCTAAACTCTTAACCCTAAAACCTTCCCCCCCTCCCCAACAGGGTTTAGGGTTCAGGGCTTTTGCATTGAGGGCTGCATTTCTTGGGGCTTTAACATTTGGGGTTTCGGGTTCAGGGTTTAGGATTTAGCGTTTCGGGTTTAGGGTTTAGGGACGCATGCTGCAGGATTCTCTGCTCCACTTGTGGGGGGGAGTCATGCGTGTGCAATCGGTGTGCACTATCATGACCCCAGATTACTTAAACCCAACGCGTTCCTTCTGGACCCTAAACCCTAAACCCTAAACCCTAAACCCTAAACCCTAAACCCTAAACCCTAAAAGTTGTCTAACGCATGGTCCTTTTGGGCAGTTGCCTTAAGCATGGTTTCTCTTGTGGCCTACTCCGAGTATAGGGCTCCTCAAAAGACTTTCTCGAGAAAGCAACATGAATACCCTAAAAATAAATACTCCGTAAGCCGACCCTAAACCCTAAACCCTAAACCCTAAACCCTAAACCCTAAACCCTAAACCCTAAACCCTAAACCCTAAACCCTAAACCCTAAACCCTAAACCCTAAACCCTAAACCCTAAACCCTAAACCCTAAACCCAACCCTAAATTCAAACCCTTTATTTGGATCTCTTGGTAGCCCAGTAACCAAGTTGTGATAAGGGTACCCTGTTTGAGGTTTGCTATTTGTACAAGAGGACCCAGAACCTGACAAGGGTACCACGCAGCTCCCCTACATCCCACAAACCCTAAAGCCGAAACCCTGGAGCCGAAACTTGGCCTAAACCCTAAACCCTAAACCCTAAACCCTATCCCCTAAACCCTAAACCCTAAACCCTAAACCTTAAACCCTCAACCCTGAACCCTGAAGCCTAAACCTTGACCCCTAAACCCTACCAAGATATTTGGACCAGGCGCACTTTGGCCTCGTCGCGGCAGTCCCAGTTCACCTAAGCACGGATTAGGGTTCAGGGTTCAGGGGTCAGGGTTCAGGGTTTAGGGTTTAGGGTTTAGGGTTTAGGGTGTGGGGTTTAGGGTCCAGCAATGTTGGCGGTCTAACTCTGCGCTGGCAGGATTCGGGGTTTGAGGCTTAAGTCCTTTCTAGGCCTTTAGGCCCGAAATCATAGACCCCCAGGAGCACTAACTAAGCCCAAAACCTAACAACCCCTCCACCCCTGCAACCCCGCAACCCTAACCCTAAACCCCCAGCCCACCTGGCGGAAGAACTGGGCCAGCCAGCGAGCATCGTTTCCCACCAGGTCCCGTGCCAGCCCCCAGAGCCATTCCCGCTCGGACTCGGTCCAGGGGCGCAGGCGCACCTCGAACTAGGGCTCAGGGTTTAGGGTGTAGGGCCCAGAGTCTATATAGGGTTTAGGGCTTGCCGATTTTTGAGGTTGGGCCCCCTGACCCTTGGTTGAGGGTTTAGGGTTGGGCCATTTCAGGGGGGGTGGGGGGAGGCAAACCCTGAAAGCGCCGCACCCTTAAAAGAGGAGTTCACGCTCTAACTCGCAAACCCTACCTGGAACTCTATTTGACTCTATGTGCCTACAGCTTAGTAGGAAGTACCCCTGTTCGCAGGTATGACCCCGAAAACTGTAGGCGAATAGGGTCAGGTAAACCCTAAAACAGAAAATACACCCTACACCCTAAACCCTAAACCCTAAACCCGAAACCCTAAACCCTAAACACAGTAGATCCGGGGCGCACAGAGCTGCTCCAAGAAACGCAGTAGCAATGCCTTTGCAGAGCGCCGCAGAGCGCTGTCCTCCACCTCATACCTTGGAGAAAAGATAGGGTTTAGGGTTTAGGGTTTAGGGTTTGGGGTTTGGGGTTTGGGGTTTAGGGTTTAGGGTTTAGCGGGGTGTTGGGTTTTAGGGTTCAGGGTCCGCCGACCCTGGCGGCGTGTTGGATAGGTTTCTGGAGGTGAAAACGTCTTTTTCCCTCTTTACCCCCCCAAAATGGGGGGGGGGGGGGGTAGGGGGGGGTACCCCGGCAGCTTTTCCGTGGAGGGCCAGGCCACCCACAGCGTGTACTCATGGACCATAGGCGGTTCGCACAAGGCAAGGTTTTTTTGGAAAAACCACCCCCCCCCCCCCCCCTCCCCCCCCCCTCCCCCCCCCCTCCCCCCCCCCTCCCCCCCCCCCCCCCCCCCCCCCCTCCCCCCCCCTCCCCCTCCCCCCCCCTCCCCTCCTCCCCCCCCCTCCCCCCCCCCCGTCCCCCTCCCTTCCTTTACTGCTCGCCCCCTCAAACAGAGTAAAAACTTAACCTGCACCCTAAACCCTAAGCCCCCCCACCCCAACCCCAAGCCTGTGGTCGTGGGCTGTCCTCGGTTTGGGCTTTCGGGGTCCAGGGTCCCGGTTTCGGTTTAGGCTGTACTTTTTTGGGGTTTAGGGTTCGGCTTTAGGGCTGAGGCTTTAGGGTTTAGGCTGTAGGGTTGAGGGTTTCGGCCGTAGGGTTTAGGGTCGGGTTTGGGTTTAGGGTTTGGCGCCGGGGCACGCTGCGCCGCTTCAGCCCTGAGCAATGCTCCGGCGGGGTCGGCGGCTTGAGCCGGAGGCTCTTAAATTCAGGGCATCATGGTTTAGGGCTTTGGGGCTTTGGGGTTTTCGGACTGTTGGGTTTATGGGGATCGGGGTTCTTTATGGCTACTCCCAAAGGGTCCATGTACCTATATAGTAGATACTTGGGCCTTAAAGGGGTTCCTATATCGTAGCTTTAGGGGCCAAGTATATACTATATAGGTACATGGACCCTTACGGGCTACTAAACTGTAGGCAAATAGAGTGCCAGGATGGGCTTTGGGGGGCCAGGGCTAACAAGCAGCTTCTATCGGGCGTGTGGATGGAAGATCTAGAGTTTTCTGGTCTATAGGACTTTCTGACTCGTGCACTAAACCCTTTGACAATGATGTAGAAATAGGTTCCCTTCTGAAGAAAGAAGGGAAGTTAACAATTCTCCCAAGGCACAGCCCAGGTTTTCTTTCAGGATTCAAGGGGTTTAGGGTTTAGGGTTTAGGGTTTAGGGTTTAGGGTTTAGGGTTTAGGGTGTGGGGTTAAGTGTGACGGGTTGATCCGAACTGCGGGCCTAGCAGAACATACTCCTGTGGCTCCCTGGCGCTCGAAAGCCGAGACCCTAAACCCTAAACCCTAAACCCTAGCCGTAAACCCTAAACCCTAAACCCTAGACCCTCAACCCTAAACCCTAAACCCTAATCCCTAGCCTGAACGCTAAACCCAAACCCCTAAGCCTGGACCCTAACACCTAACCCTAAACGCGAAACCCTAACCCTAAACCCTGAACCCTAACACCAGCAATCATGCCTCGTCTAGATGCGGCAAAACTCTAAACACCGCGAGCCCAAAATTCTTTCATATGGCCAAACAAGGAAGCCCTAAACCATAAACCGTACACCTCCTACCCTAAACCCTAAACCCTAAACCCTAAACCCTGAATCCCAAACCCTAAACCCTAAACCCTAAACCCTAAACCCTAAACCCCAAACCCCAAACCCTAAACCCTAAACCCTACACACCCCCCCCCCCCCAAAGCCGCCAGAGCCCACCCCCTTGGGCCAAGGAGGTCGAGAGGCAGGCCCGCGAGGGGAAGCTTGCGGAGCGAGAGGACCTCGCTGGGCAGAAAGGCGGCCTCGGGCGTCCTCAGCTGCTGCGTCTTCCGTTCCCTGGAACCCTGGAGGAGTTCAGGGTTTAGGGGCAACCCTAAACCCTAAACCCTAAACCCTAAACCCTTAGTCAACCCGAAGAGCGTTCTACAGGCAACATACCCTATTGCCACCCCCCTTAGAGCCCAAGCAATCACCAAGAAACCAGGTAAGGATCCATGTAACCTAAACCCTAAACCCTAAACCCTAAACCCTAAACCCAAAACCCTAAACCCTAAACCGCATAGAGTAACCCGGGAATGAAAAGGGTGCCCTTTCTGTTGTTCAAATGGCGCTTCTACGGGAACAGTGGATTCCGAAACCCATTTCTCAACCCTAGCTCTGCATTCCTCAGCCCGAAACCTCCTATACCCGGAACCACCCGAAACCCCTCAAACACCTCCAACCCCCCCAACATCCTCCCCAAAAAGCCCGGAACATCCTCTTAAACAACCTTGAAACCCTGAGCAACCCTTAAAACCTTAAAACACATCCACACCCCCCAACATCCTCCCCAAGAAGCCCGAAAGATCCTCTTAAAAAAACCTTGAAAACACCTTCGACACCTACATCATGAACCTCAAATCCTAAAAACCCTAAAGCCCCCCATCCCCCCCCCCCCCCCCCCCCCCCCCCCGAAAAAAATAAGTTATAAATGAAATAAACCAAAACCCTAACACCCTAAAACCCCCAAACACCGCAATAACCCTAAATCCCTAAAACCCTAATCGACCTAAACCCTAGACATCCTCCCTAAAAGCCCTAAACCCTAAACCCTAAACCCTAAACCCTAAACCCTAAACCCTAAACCCTAATCAACCGCTCCGGGAGGCTGCAGGGGCGGAGGGATGCTCTCAGAGTCGGTTCGCTGCTCGCTGGGCCTGGGTCCCGAATGTTGGGTTTAGGGTTTAGGGTTTAGGGTTTAGGGTTTGGGGTTTAGGGTTTAGGGTTTAGGGTTTGGGGTTTGGGGTTTTGGGGTTTAGGGTTCAGGGTTTGGGGTTTGGGGTTTAGGGGTTAGGGTTTGGGTTTTGGGGTTTAGGGTTCAGGGTTTGGGGTTTGGGGTTTAGGGTTTGGGGTTTAGTGTTTAGGGTTTGGGGTTGGGGTTTGGGGTTTGGGGTTTAGGGTTTGGGGTTTAGGGTTTAGGGGGTGAGGGGAGACCTCCCGGGAACCCCTTAGACCATAAGCCCTACAATCCTCTGAAGCTTCAGTATATCTATCCTTTTTGAGCATTCCAGAAGCGAGACCGACAGGCATTCCAACTATGCAACGACCGAAGTTAGTCTAAAGACTGTTTAATTCCTTGGCTGCACTTAGGAGGGTAGTAAACAAACTAAACTTTTAGCTGCCCTATTAAATTAAGAAACCCAATAAACCCAAAAAGGCTAAGGATGTAAAGTTACAGTAAAGCACCACAAAGACTCATCTACCAACACCAAGCTACTCTACGGATAAGAGGCTTCATTTCGGCAATACGAAAGCTCGCCTTTGGTATCAAGAAACATGCACCTCGATGTCGGCTTATCATCCCCACATTCTGTAGCTAGCTTATTGGTTGGGGTGCTCATCTCGTAAGTTCGGAACGATGTAAATCAGATTGGCCTCTATCTTTAATCAGGCGTTAGGAGGGGGCACTTCAGGATTTAAGGAGTGCAGGGAACTCGGGTGTGAAGGCCTGGACAGGACTTAGCGGTTTTGGGGTTGAGGTGCAGAATTCGATGACTCGTGTTTGGAAATTCGGCGTTTTCTCCCGCAACAGATGAGCTCAACAAGTCCTTCAATGCCCTGTCTGCAGAACCTGTGCACTTGAAGTCAACATGGGATCTGTCAAAAAAAGCCCGGGCCCTTGAATCTTGGGATCAGTGCTCCATAAACACTTGCGCCAGAGAATTCAACTCCTGAACCGCAGAGGCGGGGGAGGGGGGAACCAGGGCCGGCGGTGTTTGGGCGGTTTCAAGTTGAAACCCTGAACCCTGTTATAAACCCTACAAGGGTAGAACCCTTCAAACGCTTGAGCCTGTAACGCCCCCCCCCCCCCCCCCAAACCGTTGCAGAAGCGAGCAGCAATGGGAAGGGCATGCGATCGTGGCACGCGAAGCACAAGAAGATGGGACCAGCTTTGGCTGGCACGCCTTCGATTTAGGCTTGGGGGTTCACCCTAAACCCTAAACCCTAAACCCTAAACCCTAAACCCTCATGGCTTAGGCCTCTAGACCCGAAACCCTACACCCATCTAAACCCCCGTGGTTTCGGATTTCGGCTCTTGGGAGGCTCTGATGGCCGAGGGCGTCCTCAGGAGATGTGAAGTTCGAGAGCTGCAGGAAGCTCGGGTTTAGGGTTTAGGGTTTTGGGGTTTAGGGTTGGGGCGGTTTGGGGATTAGGGTCTAATGCTTAGAGGTGTAGGGTTTAGGATCTACTTACTAGCTAAAGCATTAAGGGACTATATGTGTAGGCTCTCCGTGTTCTCGACCGTGGTATCCTCCCCCACCCCAAGCCCGAAACTCTAACCCGACCCGAAACCCCAAGCAAACCATGAACCACAGGAGGGGAAGGGAGAATACTTAAACCATGAGCAGGAGGGGAGGTGGCAATTCACCCAGAGCTCTTTTCTTGGAGCCAGGTGGTTCAGGGTTGAGGGTGTAGGCCATAAGCCCGAAACACAGTGTTTCCCAAACCCTCAACCGTCGAAGAAGTTGCCCCTGGGCCCTAAGCCCTAAACCCTAAACCCTAAACCCTAAACCCCTAAACCCTAAACCCTAAACCACCAACCGAGAGGCCCATGTTCTCAAGCAGGGTGTTGCAGTGGCTGTCCCCGCGGAAGTGTCCCAGAAGCCAGGGGCCTCCGCACGAACCCAGGCATGAATTGTTGAAGGCTTTAGGCTTCAGGGTTTAGGGTTTAGGGTTTAGGGTTTAGGCTTCAGGGTTTAGGGTTTAGGGTTTAGGCTTTAGGGTTTAGGGTTTAGGGATTAGGGTTAATTCCGGGAGAAGACTCAACAACAGGCCATAAATCTTCCACCCCTAAGTTGCACAGAGCATAGTTCGACGTTGGTGGGGCTGCGGAAAGCATCTGGGACATCCAAAAACTCCTCTTGCTGCCAACATGCCGGGTGAAGGGAGCCATTGCGGGGTTTGGGGTTTGAGGGGTCTAGTCTAGTCTTTAGGCTTAAGAGTTAGGCCCCCGCGCATCAGCAAATGCTCTTTGTAGCCAGCCTTCTTAAGGCCCGATTTAGAACACCAGCGTTCCACACACCTTTTTAAGGCAAGACTAAGCAGAGTGGCCCTGAGCTTGAGTGGGATGGTAAGATCCTGGGTTAGAAGGTTGAAGGGGTCTGGGGTGTAGGGCTCAAGGATAACGGTTTAGGGTTTAGGGTTTAGGGTTTAGGGTTTAAGGTTTCGCAAATCCGAAGTCCGAAATGGCACTGTCCAGGTCTTGAAACCAAATTCCTATCCCTGCAAGGCCGAAAACCTACCCCTAAACTACTATTTGCTTAAGAACCCACAGAGAAAGATAATCATCCCTATACTGCCCTTATAAGGAAGAACATCTTGAATGTTTTTGGGGAAGTTCTTACAAGTACGCAAATAGTAGAAAAAACCCTAAGCCCAACACTTGAAAACCCTCAACCCACCACCCTAAGGGCCCCACGAATCCGAAACTAACCAACAAAAACCTTCAAACCTCCGAGCCTCCAAACCTTCAAGCCCCTAAACCCTAAACCCTAAACCCTAAACCCTAAACCCTAAACCCTAAACCCTAAACCCTAAAACCGAAATCCCTCTACGCCCTGTAAACTACTGTAGGGGTTTCTTGGGTTTTTTGGGTTTGGGGTTTAGGGTTTCTTGTCAAACCAAAAGGTGGATTCCAAACGTGCTCGATCAGGGCCGCGCGTCGGGTTTGAGAGGGAGCCGGTCAGACGCCAAGAATCGTCTTTCCCAGCATCTATCGTGAAGAAATACTATGAGAATCTGGGGCACAAGCCACTAATTAAACCCTAAACCCCAAAACCCTAAACAGCCCTTGAGCTACACACGCAAAAACCAGCACTCCAACGTAGGTGCTTCTGAAAAGTTACCAAAGTCATCCCGTATAAGCCCTGCATGATTCCACACTAATTAAGCCGCTCAACTACTATTTGCTGAAGAACCCGCAGAAAACAAAAGATACCAATCCCTATTTTGCCCTTTTCTTTTTGTTTTGTTTTGTTTTTTTTTTTTTTCGGGGGGGGGGGTTCTTCAGCAGACAACAGTCACCACATATATATATATATGTATATGTATACCTGTCAACCTTTGGGCCCCTGCACTACCCCAAATGCCTCGCAGGTGGCGCTGGCAGAAATTGAATCGGCAGCAGCAGCAGCGCCTGGGTTGGGTGCTGAAAGGGGTTAAACTTATACTGAACTTGGAAGCCCTTTTTAAAGTTTCTGAGGAATTCTAGTACCCCAAAGTTAGAAACTATTTCCAAGTACCCCCAAGATAGGGTGCATCGTCGGGCTTTGTGTGTCGGAGTTCAGTGTGGCACGGGGTTTAGTGTTGCGGGGCTTTGGGATTGGAGGCCACGCCCTCTTCATGCAAGCAGCCCCCAGAGAACAGACAGTCCTAAACCCTCAAACCCTAAACCCTAAACCCCTAAACCCTAAACCCTCATGTCAGGCTTGTGGAGTGCAAGGGAGGGTCGGTTTCTCAGGAAGGACATGTAAGGGATCACGCGGTGCCTCGCCACGGCCTAAGCGCCTCAGGTAGAACAGTACGACCAAGACCGCCCAACCCGTAAACCCTAAACCCTAAACCCTAAACCCTAAACCCTAAACCCTGAGCCCTGAGCCCTGAGCCCTGAGCCCTGAGCCCTGAGCCCTGAAGCCCAGGTCCAATTCCTCAAAGACAGCCGACAATCAACAGGTGGTTTGTTGTTGCGGATTCAGATTTAGGATACCAGAAGAGTGATATCTATATCTATTTCTATATCTATATCTATATATATATACACATAATGTTATGTGGCTGATACCTTTAATATTCCTTCTGCCCAGATTTCGTACACAGAGCTGGGTAAAGCTCCTACGCCAAAAGCTTGAGGTGATGATATATGATGATAACCCTAAGCCCTAAGCCCTAAACCCTAAACCCTGGGTTTAGGGTTTAGGGAACAGAAGCCGACGCCCACTTCACAAGGTGGCCTAGAGAGCACATACGCCCGGTCAGTCCAAGAACCCACAGATTCTTGAGCCAAATCAGAGGGTTTAGGGTTTAGGGTTTAGGGTTTAGGGTTTAGGGTTTAGGGTTTAGGGTTTAGGGTTTTAGGTTGGACCCCAGAACGCTGTAAACTGACAAGGAAATTCTGGCGCGCATTTTGCCTTATAAATTTGGGCTTTTTCAGGCGACTTTTTCTTGCCGGATGAAAATGCACTACAGAAATTCGCATTCCCAGATCTTCCAAAACCCCTTGATTAAGGAATATACCCTAGTTTATACTAAGGATCATGATTTTGAATTAGGGTATATTCCTGAAATAAGGGGTTTTGGAAGATCTGGGTTCTTAGTGCGGCATTACGAATAGTCTCCTATGCCGCAAGAGAATGTTAAACAAACATTGCGTTTGTCATTCCAATTCTCTTCTTGCTTTGTCAAATTGAGTTATAAGGGGTAGTAAAGATATGAATGACGCATGACCTCAATCAGCAGCAAGCAAAAATAGGACAGACATGAAGAACAAAGAGAGACATAAGCTACAATCCTCAGCACGTAGTTTAGGATATTGTAGTTGTTCTCGTTAGAAATAAGAAGTCTTTTCATATGCCCGCGCGGTAATAATCCTAAGATGCTTTTGTCTTTTTGCGGGCACAAACAAGCCATTTAACGCGCCCATATACATAGTTTTGTTGGGCGCGTAACATCCCCTAAGCCCTAACCCTTACACCCCAAAACCCCGGTTTAGGGTTTAGGGTTTAGGGTGGAGGGTGTAGGGTGTAGGGTTTAGGGTTTAGGGTTTAGGGTTTAGGGAACCCTAAACCCCCAAAACCCATTCAGAGGAGTCACAGCTTCTCGCATCCGGGCCCAAAAAGCGATTCGCAGCCGGGGTCCAAACAGCCCATCACTAAGTCCTCCGCGCGACGGGGGTAGGGTTTAGGGTTTAGGGTTTAGGGTTTAGGGTTTAGGGTTTAGGGTTTAGGGTTTAGGGTTTAGGGTTTAGGGTTTAGGGTTTAGGGTTTAGGGTTTAGGGTTTAGGGTTTAGGGTTTAGGGTTCAGGGCTTAGGTTTCGGGTTTAGGGGGGTCTAAGGGGCTTATCTAGGCCTTTAAAGGCCTTTGGGGCGGGGTGGGGGGTCCTTTTTCAGCCTTTAGAAGGGGGGGCGGGGGCTATTTATGCCTTTAAACAATCTTTAGGGGGGATCTGTCAAGCCCTTCGAAGGCTTTTTTAGGGGGGCTCTG